GGGGGGGGGGGGGGGGGGGGGGGGGGCATCGTTATTGACGAGCACGCAGCTCAAAGAGGAAACAGCTCTGCAGGATGTTTTTCGTGTGTTTTCAGAGCGGGCTGGAGGTCGGCGTGGAGTTCACCCACGAAGCTACAGACGGCGACTGCCACTTCCTGTGAGTTCTGAACTCGTTGAATGGTTGTTTCCCGCTCATGACGTCACAATTACACGACTCTGCAGAGGGCTTTTAATTTGAAACTATGGTTACAGGAAGTAAAGTCTCTCAAAGTGAGTGCTGACCTCTGTTGACCTCTGACCTCTGTCTGTCCCACAGTGCATCAGTGTGTCCTGACTGCTTCAAACCCACCAAGAACAAGCAGGTGAGGAGACGGATCGCACGTCTTTCAGGGACTGAGTCTTCAAAAAGTCTCAGAACTGTTGTGATTGAGTCCAAACATCTAAACGGGATTTATCGTCAAAGCTCCAGGCTCATGTGAGGTCACCGTGACCTTTGACCCCTGTCCAAGTGACAACTGGTCAAACTGTGACGATAGAACTGAGACGTCATGTTCATGTGACTCTGACCTGAGCACTAAACTTTCATCAGTTCTTCTGTGAAATGTGGCCTCTGACCACTAGGTGTCGCCGGCAGGAAGACGATAACAGAATCAATCAGGTCTTTGTTGTCTTTCATGTTACACAACCTGAGGCCACACACACACACACACACACACACACACAGTCATAGGTTAAATCCACTCAGGCTCCGTCTGTCTCTGCAGTCGGTCTTCACCAGGATGGCGGTGGTCAAAGCTCTGGAGAAAATTCCTGACGCCAGCTTCCTCAGGTGAGCATCAGCTTTGTTCCTCAGCTCTGGTTGTTTTCGTCCGAAAGATTGAAATGATGATTGTAGATTTTTTTTTTTTTTTTACTCCAGACATTACCCTTGTCCTCCAGCGCGGCCATCCAGCTGTTGCAGTCTTCAGGGCGTCCAGTGTCTCCACACGTCCGTCTTCATCGCAGGTATCGTAGGTCGCTAATAAAACATTCAGCCGCTTGAGTCGGTGTCGTCACATCTGAACGATCGCTCTCTGTTTCCTGACGTTCAGGGAGATACAACAAGTTCTGCCGCAGTCTGCCTCAGACCCCCTGGGTGATCGACGGAGAGAGGAGGATGGAGTCTTCAGTGGAGGAGCTGATCGCAGCGCCCGTCCTGTCGTCCTTCAGAGCCGAGGGTGAGTGGACAAAACTCTGCAGCCCTCATGTTCAAATCATCCGGAGTCTCCTCTGGAGTCTTCGTCTTCTACTCGACGGCTCCTCTTCTTCATCCTGAATCTCTTTCTTCTTTTTTTTACTACAGGTTTTAATTTCTCCTCGTCCGGCAGAGAGGACGTCGACGTCCGAACTCTTGGAAACGGTGAGACGCTCGTTTTTTTTTTTCACCTGAAGTTTGACGACTGGAGGTTTCTGTTAATTTTCCGTCTCGGTCTCGTTTGACAGGTCGTCCGTTTGCGATGGAGCTGATTAATCCTCACAAGTCCAGACTCAGCCGGGTCGAGATGAAGCAGCTGCAGGAGGTGCTTGTTCTCAGGCCACATATGAAAACACAAACGTCCGACTTCCACACAACTCGTAGTGATATTTTCACTGCATCTCGTTAACTAGTACATGTCGGAACACAAACACTTGAAGGTTTGATGGTTGTCCAGGTTCCTAACTTTGTCTTTTTTAAATGTTTTCAGACAATTAACGAGTCTTCAGACAAAATCAGAGTACGAGACCTGCAGATCGTCTCCAGGTGAGAAGAGTTCAGCTCGACAGGAAAAACCTGCACCTGCTCTTAATTTAAATCTATTCGTGTGTGTGTGCGCGTGTGTGTGTGTGTGTGTGTGTGCAGAGACGCTATGAGTCGAATGAAGGAGGGCGAGGAGGAGAAGACGAAGTCGTACACGGCGCTTGTCTGGACCAGGAAACCGATTCAGAGAGATGATATCATCTTCATTGGTGAAATCAAGGTCACTACACACACACACACACACACACGCACACACACATGCACACAGACCAGCAGAAACTGAACAACAGATTCAGACAGGAAGTAGAGTGTGTTTGTGTGTTGGTTGTTGGTCAGGAGCTGACTCTGGATCAGAAAACTCCTCTCAGGGTTTTGCATCGCCGTGCGCTCGCCGTCCGACAGAGAGTCGTCCACAGTATGAACGCTCGCTTCCTGGACCCGCATCACTTCCACCTGGAGCTGAAGACGCAGGCCGGGACGTATCCTCACTACATGTTGTGTGTTCACAATGGACGGATGAATGTTTTAATTTGATTCATTAATCTTATGTCATTAAGACTTCAGATTATTTTCATGGAAACTTTTCAGATCTTTTTTGTGTCGTTGCTTCTTAACGTCCACCGACAGTTACATTAAAGAGTTCGTCCACGGAGACTTCGGCCGCACTAAACCGAACCTGTGTGAGCTGCTCCAGACGGACACGGACATTCTGGAGCTGGACGTGGAGGTGAGACGAAAACACAGCATCGCCTCAGACAGACTGAGCCACTGGGGGGCGCTGTCTCATACAGGATGGTTATGCTATGGTGTCCCTCAGGGTTCACTTCTGGGACCAGTGTTATTTTCTTTGTACGTGTTCCTGCTGTTTCTCATACGTCCTCATGTCCTCTCTCTGTCTCAGTCTGTGGACGTGGACTGGCCTCCCGCCATCCCAGAGTGAACGTCGTCCCGGATCCGAGAGCCGGCGGGTTCGGTCCTGTTGGTTCGTTTCACCACGGCTCGTCCCATAACGACGCTGCATCGAAGCGACCGCCAAGGTCACGTGAGAACACCGGTGAATGCTGTTGGGATGTGAGAGTGGCTCCGTCCTGCTGCTGCTCGGAGACGTTTGTGACACGTTCAGTATTGTTCCTGACGAACCTCGGAGGGAAAAACACTTTCTTTACATTTAATTTCATTGTTTTTTATGAAATTTTCCGGCAGCGAGTCGCTGAGTTGTGACGATATATTGAGTTTTCATAATTTCAGGGACCTCAGATTTAACTTTTGTGTCCATCTGATTATTTCTAAAACACATTTCCACGACTCACTGTGGGATAAAATGTAAAATTAGATTTCTTGAGCTGAGGTCACAGATGATGCCACTGATATTATTTCAGATAACTTTTTTCATCCTGAACTTTTAAATGCATCTTATTTATGAACCCTTAGTTTTTCACTTAAAATGTGCTTTACTGTTAGTTTGTCGTGTTAAGTGCATTTTTTTGCTCAGAATCAATAAAGCAACTCCACCTACCCAGTTTTATTTATTCACCTTATCTTTAAATCACACTTGAGTCTTTTATTTGTGTAGAAATAAAAGACGAGTGTGAAAAACGTGCTTTGAAAAAGTAAAATAAAATGAAACTTAACTTCATATTTACATTTTTTGGGCCGTGATTTATATTAAAGCTAAAAGTAAAATATCCCACCAGCCTAAATAAAACTTGTCTAATATATTTATATGTTGAATATGAACGACTTACGCCCAAAATACTACAAATACTAACAGCTGCTATGTTGGAATGTGAACCATTAATGATTCAAGAGGCTTTATTACATGATATATATTTATATATATATATATATATATATATATATATATATATATATAAAATGTAGTTACTAGATTTCCGTTGTATGAACACTGGAGTGAATCATCAACGTGTTAAAGCAAATTAAAAGAACGTGGATGTGCAGCAGCTCTTTGTCCCCGACGGACGTTTTAGAAATAAAGAGTCACGACAGCAGAAACCCTGAAATGTATTTCTTTTAATTTAATTCAAAATAAATACTACCACGGCGGCAACGCAAGTCCACTGCTGGGTTCTTGCCCTAACGTTTTGGTAAGAAAACAAACAAGCAAACGATCCAAAATGAAATTTTTTAAATAAAATAAAACCAAATAAAGAGACTTCAGTTAATGCATCCATCATCATCATCATCATCATCATCATCAACAACATCAGCATCATCATCCTCCTTCACAGACTTTCAAGAGGTGCCTTTTTTTAACGACATACAAGGTAACACTGCGGAGAATGACGAACATAAATAAAACAAATACTATGGTACAAAACGAGGGAAGGGAAGTGGAGCGAGGGATGATGGGACTGGAACGACCTGATGGAACCAGCACTGCAAAACAAATAAAAATAAAACGTTCATCCACAGTCCCACTTGTTTGTTTTAGGTTTTTTTTTTTTTTTTGTCATTTTTTCTTTTTTAAAGAGGGACGAACAGAAACGACAGACTACGGTTTGAGTCACGTCTTCTCACAGCGATTTGGGACGAGACCACGTTCGATGGGCGTGGGGGTGGGGTGGGTGGGTGGGGGGTGTGGGGGGGTGTTTGTCTCCATGGAAACATCCTCCGTGGACGAAGATGAGTTATCAACCCGAGAAAAGAAAAGAAAAAATAAATAAATGATCTAAAACCAATGGAAGGGTGTCTGACTTCTCTCTTTCCTTCAAATGATTTATCTGTGAGTGGTTTGTTTTCCTCGAGCTTCAACAGTCAGAGAGAAATATCACGTCTGTGTCCGGATGCCGCGAAAGACCGAGAGAAAAACGAAGGCGTTGGATATTTACATCAGGAAGTTTGGGGCAGTTTTCAAACACGAGTGTCTCACGGCTCAGTTTGTCCTGATCTGTAACGTGATTGGTGATTTATCGATTCCCTCAGTTCGGATTAGTTTAAAACGTGTTTGAATAATACTGACGGAATCAGAGTCGAGCTGGAAGCCTCATTTCTGTCTGTAGGTTAAAGTTTGCTTTGCTCTGATTTATCGTCTGAAAACAGTCTTCTCGTACGGACTCATGGAAGTGCCATAAAAAACGATCTGAAGAAGAATTAAATAAAAACTACATGTGGAGAAATAAAGAGGAACACATTAAGAATAGACGGATAAAATAAAATGTGAAAATATAAAGAGAAATTAATAAGATAATACATTTAGAAATATAAACACAAATAACAAAATATAATCATTATTTTCAGTTTCTGTATATACTTTCAAATATATATATTTCTAATGTTTGCATATATTTACTTGTGTATATTTAGACATTTATTTTATTTTATGCATTTATTAATTTTATCCGTGTTGCTGATGATGATTCTTGAAAATATAAACAAACAGATAAACGTGAAAATAAATCGAAATGTTTCTTTTACATGTGGTTTATATTAAAAATTGATTTCTTAATTGTTGTTGTTTCTATTTATATTTACACATTTCTACATGAACTATTCTTTTACGTGTTCCTCTTTGTTTCTACATTTATTTTCTTACTAGAATTATTTTTTACGGCACTTTGACTCCATACTTGTTTACAGTATCTGTGTGTGTGTGTGTGTGTGTGAATATTTCTCGACACAGACTTTTTACTTTTTACTGCGTTTCACTTTCTACGCACAAACAGCACGTGAACAAAATTCTCCGACAGCACGAGATGACACCGGGCGTCAGGAAATAAGAATTTTCCAAACTGTCGAGCGACTGTAAAACTTTAAAGACGTGGAAAAACGGAACCCAGAGGAACGTGAGCGGATTCTAACTCGGGTCGAGTCGACAGTTTCTCCACAAACTTCAGATCTTAAAAGTTTGTTTTTAACATCTTTCAGATTTTCTGCCTCACACTTAGAACAGACTGTAAATAAAGATGGACGACATGACAGATCCCTAAAAGTGAAGCCAAACAATCGCCCCCTGGTGGGTGACTGCTGTAAAGCGTGTCTCCTCCATGTTAGCAGATGGGACATGGACCAAAGTAAAGACTCAAAGATGTTTCTGATTTCAGGTCGTTCTTGTCTCACGGATGTTTGTTCAAGTGTTTCTGATCGGTTTGGTTTTCACGGGCTGAGACGTCACGAGATGATTGACAGCTCGGACTGACGCCTCATTGGTCGAGTATAACCTCGATACCGCAGCTCCACGCTACGATTTGTATATTTTTACTTCTTTGCTGGACGGTGGGACGACGTAGAGACGTGTCTGTGTCCATCTTTATTTACAGTCAGTGGTTTTAACACACGACAGACGGGAGGACACAAAGATCCTCATGAAAACATAACGGAGACGTTGACAAACTAAATGGATCAAGACGTGTTCTGACGACAGGAAGGAAAAGCTTCGGAGCAGTAATGAATCTGAAACCGCTAAAACCTCACGCACACGCGTGTTGTGACGGTGTGTAAACAGACGACACAGACGAATCTGAGCTGTTCAGAGAAAACTGTAGACTTCAGTCTGATCAGTGCAGAGATCCTGTTTCCTGTGTGTGAGTGTGTGTGTGTGTGTGAGTGTGTGTGTGTGTGTGTGTGTGTGTGTGTGTGTGTGTGTGTGTGTGTGTGTGTGTGTGTGTGTGTGATGACAGCATAATGTTGACCCCCCCCATGTCCCACATACATACAGTACATACATACATTAAGTCCCGTTTCCCTGTGTAAACATCCATTCCACTAGTCCTACAGCTACGATGAGGAAACAGAAGAGAGGACGACGAAGAGGAGGAGGAGCAAGAAGAAGATGAAGAAGAGGAGGAGGAGGAGGAAGAGGAGGATGTGGAGGAGAAGCGGTGAGAAAGCAGAGAAAGGCCTCGTTCCCCTGCCGGCTGTGGAAAGCTGGAGCGGTTAGCTGAGTCTGCGGTTGTGCTCTGTGGCGCCTGAGTGAACTGTGCAGTTTCTGGCAGTTTAGTGTTTCCTGTTTCAAAATAAAAGAACAACTTAAAAGTAAAGCGCAAGTAGAGAAACATAAAAAAAAGAAGAAAAAGAAATGGGTTAAAGAAAAAAAACAAGAGAGCAAAGTATTAACACTGCAACGATGAAAGGAATGATACAGACTCGTCCTTTCTCCTTTTCCGTCTTTGTTTTTCGGTTTTTCTTGTTTTTTATCTATAGACAGTGATTTCCATCGCCATGGGTTTGGGGAATGTGCGCTGCCATGGCAAATGTATGAGAAAGAAAATCTCTTTTTTTTTTTGTTTGTAGGTTTTTTTTTTTTTTTTTTTTTTTTTTTGAGTGAACCACGAGCCATGCACTTATTCTCGACTAAGAACGACCCCTCACGACCCAGAACCCGCCCGCCCTCTCCCAGAAAAAAACAAAACACCCTGTCGGTATGATACGAAACATCTGCACACGTAAGGCAACATTTTTGGTTTTTTTGTTCCCTAAAACGGCTCTTTCAAACCAAGTGCAAAAAGTCAAAAGAAGAAGGAGAAGAGGAGGAGGAGGAGGAGGAGGAGGAGGAAGAAAAGGACAGAAACAACAAACAAAAACAGATGAACGCCACCTGGGTCGACAACTTAATACTGACGGAGAGAAAGAAATAAATAACAAAAACATTGCCTTCTGCAGTAAATTGCGCTGAAAATGTAGGAGACTTATTTTTTAGTGTGGGGAGACCGGCTGGAGTCTCTCCCACTGTGCAAAAACCTCTTTTAAAGTCCCTAAAAAGACTTTTCCCCGTCTGCGAGGAGGCAGAGAAGGAGAAAAAGAGGGGAGACTGGTTTTCTTTTTTTTCCTTTTTTCCTAAAATGGCTACGTGTTTTCCTCAAAATGGCCACGAATGGGGACGACACTGGCTGGCTGGGCCGGAGCGCTCACTCCCGCCCGCTGGCTGAGTAGGAGAACTGTGGGAAATGAGGCCTCCGCTCGTTGTCCGCTGCATCCATCCCGTCCTCATCGTCTGCGGAGACAATCAGACGACAACACTTCAGTTGATGACCAAAGAAATGTCACGTATACTTCCTCGAAACTTCCCGACAGAAATTCTCTGAGAATAATAACATGACAAAGTTATTTACAGAGATTTGGTGTCCTTAAAGGATTCAGTGACCTCTAGTGGAGAAGTGGCAGCTGAACACCCTTCACCCTTCCCTTACACACTGGACCCTTAATGTTTCACCATTTTTATGGCAAAATAAATAAAACAACCAGAGTGTTCGTACGTCATCACAGGAAGTCGGAAGCATCATTTAGATTTACAGGTTTTAAAAACTAAAGGTTGTTCACATCGCTAAAAATAAATTGCTAATATCTTTATCAGAGACGTGACAAACTGGAAAACTGAAGAAGAGTTAAATGAACATTAATATAACGACGACCTGACTCAACCTCGTTTTTCAAATTTCAACGTATTTAAGCCTAAAATTCAAATCTTGGACTTTTGAGGACCCTGTGTTTGGTGCGAATTAAAACCAAATTGAGGATTTTCAGACGTCATTACATTTTTCTGGCGGAGTGATGGTGATGGTCTGTGCTGTGAACTCCTCGTCGAAGTAGCGCGTGTCCGTCTCCGAGCTGACCTGGGGCTGGAAAGGTGGGACGAGCTGGAACAGACAGGAAGCAGGTGAATAAACCGCAGATGAAGAAGTTATCGTTTTGTTTCTGTGCTGAGTGAAACATGTCTGACTTTCATCCACATCAATAAATAAAGCTCACAGGTTTCATCTGACCTTCTGAACCAATAATTTTAAAATCTCATCAGGACTTTCCTGGTAAAATAAATTAAAATGAATAAAAACAAAACAACTAAAGTAAATGAACTTAACAACTGAATTAAAAATATCTGAAGTGGTTTTGCTGGAAGGAGCAAAGACTTTGTCAAGTTCAGAGAAGTTCAACAGTCCAGTTACACAGAAAGAGTGAACGAGTCTGTTAATTGGACACGGACGTGTTTGGAGGTTTTATAAATATGAGCTCTTTTTTCTTTGCCTGTCTATTTTGGAGTTTTCAGCCAGACGTCTTTTGAGAAATGAGGTAACCCTGATCCCAGAATATCTCAGGTACACTGTCTGAATAAATTACAGCTGAAGATAAGATGACGCCCGGCAGCTAAAGCCCGCTCTCACCTTCTTGTCGTAGACGTCCTGCCAGTCGATTGTGCCAAAGAAACTGTGTCGCATGATCTCCTTCGCGTCATCCGGTCCGCCGCCCAGTCTGCCAACGAACGCAGGGAGAAGAAGGAGAAGACGTTGAAGTCAGACATCAAATGCTGCTCGAACAAAGTCTCCATCAATGGGACCAGAATATCCACCTGCTACTTATCCCAAAATAACTTGGAGGGTGAGCGAGTTCGCTGCGTGAAGCAGGAGTAGCCTCTTTACGCCGTGTTCGTCGTTTGAGACAGAAAGGGCCTCAGGGATAATCAGAGCGGGAAATAAACAGCAGCCGCCAGCCGCTGTCGTCTAAACAGCGCATTTACTGAATAACAACATATTTTACTTCCTGCGTGTCAACAGGCCACGAAGGACGACCTCCAGAATTCTTTGTTTTTATCTGAGCTGGGGGAGATTATGATTCCCATCAGGCCCTGGTGCAACACAGTGCCCCCAGGAGGTGACGTTCGTGGTCAGGGCGAGAGGTTAAAGATCTGCAGCTGACGTGGAGGGACGGAGGGATGGAGGGATGGAGGGACGGATCATAATATACAAACACGTCTTCTATCTTGACGACCACATTTGTTTCCTTTGTTCAAAAAGGTTTAGTGGGTTTGTCGCAAACATTTCCACTTTTATCAAATAGAGATGATAAGAAACAAGGAGAGAGAGAGAGAGACGGGGATGAAGTCACAAGGCCAGACTCGAACCGGAGACGTCCTAACCCCTGACACCACCTCGTGTCATCAGACACCGGACGATCATTAAGTGAAGTTAAACAACATCAAGTTAAAACTCTGGTGTTGGTGAAGGCTGTGAATCTTCCTCTACAATCCCATTTAAATTCCAATTCTTTCTACCTGTTCTCAATGAAATCTTAAATAAACGTGTTATTATTTCTTTTGTTGTGACGGCGTGTGAAACCCACTGCTCCTCTGGGTCTTGTGTAACTTTCCTATTTCCTGCTCCGGCTCCCTCACGTGAAGCTGTGTGATGATTTCTGAATGAGCAGGAACTTCTACCTCAAACGTCATGAACTAACACCAGAGGTCGGGTTTTTCAAGTACACCCGGATCAAACCTCCAGAGACTACACAATGGAGCTCATCAGGGTCTCGGGGGAAGCACATATCTGTCTGCTCAGGAGGTAAAGCGCGTCATCCACCAATCAGAAGATCAGAGGTTTGATTCCCGGCTCCTCCAGCCTAAAGCCTAAATCGCCCTCGACAGCTGCGAATAGAAGCTTTGTGACTCGAAAAACCCGTAATGATGCTGCATGTTTGTTTCTTGATTGTGATTGTGGCCGAGGTGTTTGACTACGTGTCTCTGGCTCGAGTCTGGTCGGGGACGTTTCTTACCCAACGTCAACGTTCTCTGTCTCCTCTCATCTCGGCACAATGTCACACTTTCCTGGTGGTAGTTTGTTTTTTTTTGTTTTCCGTGTCCGTACCGTTTGTTGGGGTCCTTGATGAGCAGTCCCGACAGCAGCGACTTGGCGTCGGCTGACAGGGTTCGTGGGAACTTGATCTCCTCCATGAGGATGAGCTCAAACAGCTTCTCGTGGTCCTGGTTGTAGAACGGCAGCCGGCCGCACATCATTTCATACGTCACCACGCCCAAACCCCACCAGTCCACCGCCCGCCCGTAGTCGTTGTCCTCCAACACCTGATGACAAGTGATAGACATATTATTACTATTATTATGATTAACATGAGGTTCACATTACATTCGCTCCTCACTGCTCGTTTCCTAATTAACTTTCCCTTTATTTTTTTAATATCTAAAATTAAATTGTGACTTAATATTCAAATCTGTTTTTCAACAAGGCCTGAGAGTCTGTTGTAGTAACCGGATTTAACCATTATGCATCTGCTGATTGATTCAAACATCAGACTGAGGGAATTCTTAAAACCCAAGTTTCTCTTTCGAATCCTCTTAATGTAGAAAAAAACAAACATCACAAGCTTCACCAAGATCCACTTTAGAAGAAGTGAAATTAGTTACAGACGTTCCACTAAAGAAAACACGCAGCAGCAGCTGGAGGAACTGCGTCTGAAGGAACTTCCACTTTGGTTTTAACGTGCTGCGGTTGGTGGTCGCTGCTCTGTGACAGATTCAAACACAGTCTGAAGTTTGTGTTGAGACAAACGGTGATGAGGGGGAGGTGTGTCTGAATCACGACTCAGTGTAAGAAACTCCTGAAACAAACATGCATGTTGCTGCTCTGGGTTGGCTGTGACCTCTGACCTCAGGAGCCAGGTATTCTGGTGTTCCGCAGAACGTCTTCATGGTGGCAGTGTCGGTGATGCCTTCTTTGCACAGGCCGAAGTCGGTGATCTTGATGTGACCGTCTTTGTCCAACATGAGGTTCTCCAGCTGACGAGGAGAACGAGTGGAATAAGAAAAATGTCTCTCACATCCAATAAGTTTCCGTACGTTTACAGACGTTTACGGTGAAAACGGTGGACGTCATTTACCTTCAGATCACGATAAACGATCTTGGCAGAATGTAGGTAGTCTAGAGCTGAGACGATCTCGGCGCCGTAGAAACGGGTGCGGTCCTCTGAAAATACTCTCTCTCTTGACAAGTGGAAAAACAACTGCAAAAGAGAGAAAAGACAGTGATCACATCTCAGGACGGACGTTAAAACCAGGTCTGAACCGGGTCTTTGTAACTTATAACACTGGGCTGAAGCAACAGACAAAGAAGAATAACCACCAACCAGTTGAGCTTCAGGCTACAGATTTTAATTCCAGACTCATATGAGGTCAGTGTGACCATTGACCTTTGACCACCACTGACGTTTAATCAGTTCCAGTGACAACTGGTCAAAATCTGAAACTAATTCTCTAAAAACAGACCTGAGACTTGAGATATCGTGTTCAAGACATGATGTGTGAGGTCAACGTGACCTTTGACCGCTCACCACCCAAATCTAATCAGTTCGTCCACGAGTCCAACTGAACAGTCTGAACTAGATTTAAAGAGATTCCCTCGAAGAGTTCTTGAGAGACAATGTTCACAAGAATGGGACGGAGGGACAACCTGAAAACAAAACGTCTTTGGCCTCTGAGTGCCGCTGGCATGACAACGTGCAAAACAACCTTCGACCACGGTGATTGTAAACTTTAAATCACAGGAAATAACATCGAGGCCATCGTCAAAAACAAGTGAGCGCTCACCTCTCCTCCGTTGACGTACTCCATCACAAAGCACAGCCGATCCTTCGTCTGGAACGAGTACTTCAGAGACTGAAACACATCATGTAAATACTTTCTCACAACTGCTCCTTCCAAAGCATCATGTAACTGCCATGTACTTCAGTACTTCACGAGAGCCGCCACAGTGATACTCACAGTTAGGAATGGATGCCGGGTATTTTTTAATACTCTACTTTCTGTTAGTGTGTGAGCGACTTCATCCTGCGGTAAAAGAGAAGAGTGATCGGTGAGGAGGCGACAGCAGCTCGTCTGCAGCCAGACCGTCAGTTTCAGTCTAAAGGTCGAGGATGGAATTTGAAGTCGCTATGACGACAATCAGGAAACTGATTCTTAGAGTTACATGCCAAGAGTCAGACACTGGAGGAATTTCAGTTCAAATTTTAATTTCTTGAATGATTTGATCGATTGTCTGTCATTTCCATCCAGTGACAAAAAATAAAGACATTAACGTCGTATGTGAAACTGGTTCAATACGTGCAGCACCTTTTTTAATAAATGGTCAAAACAAATATTTTCTTTTTAATGATCATTATAATTATCATTCTACTGCACATAATACGTGTTTGCATCGTCTCTACTTGCAGCCACGACTGTTACGTGTTACGCTGCAGTGAAAAAATTAGGTAACAGAGTAAAAAAAACCTGACGGGAGCAGAAAACAACAGAGGGTGAATATAACTTTTCAAACCAGAGAGAAAAAGTTCCACAAGCAGCAAAAACAACAAATAGAAGCTGATGAAACAATAAAAAAAAAGACCTTGGCTATTATGACTTCTTTCTTCAGGATCTTCATGGCGTAGTAGGTGCCGCTCGCCTTCTCCCTCACCAGAATGACTTTCCCAAAAGTGCCTTTGCCCAGAAGCTTCAGATAGTCAAAGTCGTTCATTGTCTGGACAGAGAAACAGAAGTGTGGTGTGAAGGAACCAACACTAACGACGCTCACACTCTTCACTGTGACGTCCAGCGTGGACACTGTCACGCTTCAACCTTTTACTTGTGTGGCTGAAACATTTTGTGTTTTCAGACGTCGCTGTGGTGGATCTACTGTAACTGCATCATATATAGTATTTGTGATATATCTGCAATCTAATCTCTGATTGCCAACGATGCTGCTGCGTCGAAACAGGCGCTTCAACTTTCTTCCAAAGAACCTAAAGCACCGCATAACGTTCTCTCCCTCAACCAATGACAACACGGTGTCAGCCCCCGGCGAGAGACGGTGGTGAAAGAGTGAGAGAAACGTGGACGAATAAATAAATAAATAAATACAGAAACCGCTGATAACTGGGGAGAATCGTGATTTCTCTTTTTTCCCAGAATGGTGCGGACGTAATATTTACACTTACATTAGACAAAGAACAACGGGAAATATCAACAACACGAAAACGTTGAGGTGTTTTCAGTTGGTTAAACAAACTGGAATAAATATTTTAAATGTTTAACTTGATCGACACAGAGGCGAGTGATGAGCTGTCCGTCACCTTTCGTTTGTAGTGGCTGATGGACGTGTCCATCTCCTCCTCGTTGACGTTCTCGATCTGGGAGGTGGGGCTGCACAGGATTCCCTCCTCCTCCTGTTTGGCCAGAGACTCTGCGACCATCTGAATGGCCTCGGCCCACTCGTCCCTGCAGGTCACAGAATCAAACACCAGCAGACGTGCGTTATTGCAAAAATGTGGCTTCAGACTTCGGTTAGAGGGAAGTTACTGTTTTCACATATTCACACAAAGAGACGTCCGCTGAACAGGAAACACACACATGATGTCACCAAAGACAGTGAGGTATGATCATGCACAACCAGACGACTGTAGTTTACACTGGTCTGTGTTCCGCCGTATGGGAGAACGCAAACATCCGAGTCACAGGCTCCGAGTTAAACTTTGGATAATGTCCGAATGAGCCTACGTGAGAATAAAACAAAAACTCTGTGGTTTCCACAGCAGAACTCATACGTTACATCCTGCCTCTGCCTGTTTCTGTATTTTCTCAGACAAAGTCACAAAAGCAGACGACGTGCACGAATCAGAAAAACATTAGGAAACAAGTCTTAATGCAGTTATTGTACATACAATAATATTAATGATAAATAAAACAATATATATTATGTTGTGTTGTGGAACGAAACAGTTCGACAGTTGGCGTCCAGCCTCAGCTCCACACCCCTGCTTCCTGTCTTTCTTCTTACTGTGTTGACTGAAGAGAATTTAACACAAACAGAGAGCCTGGGATTTATTTTGTATTTATCTGCCTCTAACGTTTGAGCTTTCTGATGTATTGATGGTCAGTCCAACTCCTTATTACTCTTTTATTTATTATGTCAAAACACAAGTAGCCAGCGGACACTGGTGTGAGGAGAGCAGCTGACGCGTCTGAATTAAGAAAATAAAACAAAACAGACAGACGCACAAACTCAAAAAGCCTGAAACCCGCCGACGACCTGAAAACTTAATTTAACTTGAGTTTCTTGAGCTAAATGAATCCATCACAGAGTTTCTGCAGGTTTCACCAGTTCAAAATCTAAGACCTGGTTCATGTATAAGTATTTATTTATAAATATTCTTGCAGTATTGAGTAGTGTGAAGTTCTTTTCCAGTATTTATAAGCACGGCCATTTTTTTAAATGAAACTTGAAAATTAAGTTTTGTAAAATAAATGATTTTTTTATTTTTAAATCACACGATTTATTTGTCTTCTTGTTTTTATTTATGCCAAAGACCGATGCGTCTCAGGAGGACGGAGGCTCACCTCTCGTCGGGCGTGTCCACGTGAAAAGTCCTCTCGATGACGGTGGTCCACTGCAGACAGCGGATGATGAAGGTGTTTGGCTTGGGCCGCTCCGTCTTCATCAGCTGACATTCTGGAAGTCACACAGAGCGACGGATCTGTAGACATTCATTTTCAAACGTTTATAAATAATGTGCGACGATACGATGTGAGCGGCTCACTTGCTACAGAGAAGTTGTTGAGCGGATAGGCCAAGTCCGAGTCCTGTGGTTTGTCCTTGTAGCCGATGAAAGAGCCGTCCGACTTCAGCAGGAAGTAGCGCGGTCGCCAGTTCTTGATGTACTCACCTGGAGGGGGGGAGGGGACACAGACAGGTCACTCACCTGTGTTCAGACCTGATTATCATTTTCATTATTTATGTTTTCCTCTTTAAACAAGAGCGTTGTCTTTCAGTTTGAGAAGACTCGTCGATTTCACATTCATTCGTTCTGCTTGAGCTCAAAGTGTTCGCAAGTTTCTCAAAGATGGTTTCTGTCTCTTTAGGTAGTCCTCATCACATTGATGTTTTGTTTTTAATTTGTTGATGTGAAAACAGGCTGCGACGTCATGATTGACAGCTGAGACTGACTCATGATTGGTCGTTACCACAGCTCCATCCCACGATCATGAAGGCTCAGACTCCAAAAGGAAAAGATGGCAGCGTTTGTATCTCAGATACTTTGGCTTCATTTTTGTACAACCAGAAAAAGACAATCCACAAAACGTCAACATACAAAAATAAAGCCTGCTGTCAAAAACAAGCATTTTGCACCAGATTCAGATTTAAATTTCTATAAAAAAAAACATCCCAGACGTCCCCGAGACACGTTCAGGGCAGTTTTTCTGAGACGTCTGTTTTACTGGGGACTGAATTATAAGAGAACACAAAGGTGCAATAAACAATTCAGGGACTTGTGGGGGCCAAAGAGGAAGGAACCAGAGTGTTAGGTCATCCTCTGTATGCTCATAGTGGCGCAGAGAAACTTCCCCCAGTGTGCCAGCCAACAGCTCTGAGCAGACAAACACACCTCCAGCACACACACACTAACAGACACACACACACACACACACACACACAGAAAGCAGTGTGGGAAACAACACAACAGCCAAGTGCGGCTCGGACTGGGCTGCAGGCCGGCAGAGCTGCCTTCTCTGCTCGCAGGTAAACAACCATTGTTTGGAAGAGCTGTTCTTCAAACTGACAGCGCGGCTCAGGCCATGTCCACACTGAGCGGGACAAAAACTCCTTTCAACAAAAAAAACCTTCTGATCGACTGCATCTGAAAACGCAGGTTACGTTTATTCACCGTTCCCAAATGATCCTGTTAGTTTGCTCAGACTCGTCGGCCGCTGTGTGAGAGTCAAGCAGGATTCCTCACCAACCTGAATCTGTTTCTGTCCAGTCATTAATCATCGTTCCGTTTGATCGACGTCACAGTGCAGCAGTGCATGAACTTCAATTCCCCCGATTTCACAGGTCGGATTCATGAGCCACAATCATATCAAGTGTTTCATAACCACCAAGATCCAAAAGTCCCTTAAATACAATCGAGCATCAGTCCTCTGAACGTGTCTGATCAAGATCCATGAACTGTTCTGAAAAACAGCTCACGATATAAAAGAAAGTGAATCTGGTCGAGATCCACGTTAAAGATTTAACGAGTTTTCTTTCCCTCTACAGAGTTTTGTGGGAATGCGTTTTACAGTTTGTGTGTAATCCTGCGCACAAACAAAGTAGAATGCTACTCAGGAGGACACAAACCTTATGAAGCCACATTTGAATTCTCTAGATCTCGGTTTTTATATCGTACGATAAGATGTGACTTTGTAGAACTGGTCAGTGCTGGTTACCGTCTCCGTAACATATTCTGATGTGCGTGCTGCTCATGCTCTCGTCAATAATGTTTTTACCGTCCACACAGACAGTCAGACCTTATACTTTAAGCTTTCACTCTTCAGTCTTTTTTGCCCGTCACTCAGAATCTGCTGCATGTGAGAGCGACGATCCAGCGCTTCCACATGCACGGAATGAATTCTGTGGGAAACGCCGCGGAGAAAGTGAAACAAAATGCCTGGATCTGCCCATTTATCGAGATCGAGATTCTTTCCTGACCAATTCCATATCCTTCCACCAAGTTTGGTGACAATCCGTCCAGTGGTTTCCTGCTAAAACGTAAACATGGCCTCCTGGGCAGGGGGAGATACAAGAGACGACCACAGCAGAACCCTCCTCACCTCTTTTCTGGACCCAGCCTTCCTTGACGACGTTCTGGTCGCTCATGGTGGCTTCTCCTGGGCGCCTGCTCTCCCAGTTCTCCCAGTGTGGTGGGCGTGAAGGGGCAGCTGTTGGATGGGCGGCGGGACAGCGGGTTCGGGTGAAGCTCAGTCAGCTGTCCGTCTGACCGCTCGACCTCCGACCTACCTGCGCCCGCTCTCTCACCTGACCTCAGATCTGTCGTCTGTTCTAGGAGTCTGAAGCTCCTCTGTCTCTCTCTCACTTTGCCACGATCACGTTCTCTTCCCTCCTCTCGTCCCGCCGAACCAACCTCACTTTCCTTTTGATGCTTTCTGTCTTTCTCACCTCTTCTAGTCGTTACTCCCCCCTTCTCTCTTTTTCTCTCTCTCTCCCTCCCTCCCTCCTTCCTTCGTGCCCTCTGTTTCACACTCCCTCACTCTCTCCAACTTCTTCTTCTGCTTCTTCTTCTTCTTCTCCTCCTCCTCCTCCTGTGTTCAGGCGCTCCGGTGGTGAGTCAGCCTGGAAGGAAACGGAGGCAGAGAAAGGAGTAAAAACAGAGAGAGCGGGTCAGTGGATCGTTTCCCTCGTCGCACAGCGAACACAGCAGGTCACCACTCATTGTTCAGAGCTTTAACACACTTCCTGCTCCCTTACCTCCTTCTATCCTTCCTTTGCTCCCTCCACTTTCATTCCATCCCCTCTTTTCCCCCTTCTTGAGCTCGCCCCTTCACTAGGCCTCACTTATATCTCTTCATACCCTTCACCCTTTCATATTTTCTCCCCCAGTCCCTGTTTCTTCTCTAAACATTTCCTTTCCCAACATTTTGCCTCCTCTTCTCCCGCCTTCGTTTCTTCTATACCTCCTTTTCCATTCCTCCTTAAAATCGTTCACATCCTGCTCATCTCTTTACTCATTAATTCCTTCTGTCGTTCCATATTGCCTCCCCCATTTCCTTCTTTTCCTCACTTGTCTGTCATGACTTAACTTCTTTTCCGTAAACTTTTTTACTTCCTTCCTTGACAAGGTCTTTCACCTCTGTGTAGTTCCTCCCTCTTTCTCACCTTTTCCCTTCCCTTACCTAAAATCTTTCCTTCCCCCTTTTTCCTCCTCCTCCTTCTCCCTCCCTCCCCCATTTCCATTTATTCCCCATTTTCTGTGTTGACTTTAAGACTTTTCTGTAAACTTTATACCTCCTCATCCTCTCCTACCTTCCTCCCTCTTTTTTCCACCTTCTCTTTCCCTCCCCTAAAGTCTCTCCTTCCTTTATCCTCCTCACCTCAGTACCTTCTCATTTTCTCCCCTCCCTCTCTCCATCAGTCCTCCTTTTCATCATTCTTCCTTCCTCCATTACCGCCCTTCCTCTCTCTTTTCACACCATCTACCATTACCCTGACTCCTTTTCTCTTTCCCTCCCATGCTCCTTTTTTTCATTTCCTACCACCTCTTCTCCTCCCTACTTGTCTGGCTCCCTTTTTCCTTCCCTTGTTTCCTACTTCATCCTCACAGAATTCCTGCACCTCCCTCCTTCAGGAGGCTCCTTCCTTTCCTCTTCATAGTTGATCCGCTCACATCCTCCTGTCCTTCTATCCCCCCTTTGTTCGCTCCTTTCTTCACTAGCTCCTTCTCTCACTCCCTCCTCCTCCCTTCTCTCCATCAGTGTTTCACAAACTACTTTTCCCTCTTCTTCTCTTCCATCTTTACGTCACACCTTCACTAGCTCCTACTTTCCTTCCCTTCCCTCTTCCTTTCCTCCTAACATTTGGTCCATCTCTTCTTCACTCACTCCCCCTCTCTCTGTCACTCCTCCACACCCCCCCAGAGAGGGTCAAAACAAAATAGACAAATAGAGTTTTACAATAAAATGTTAAAAAAATAAATACACGTCAATGAAACAAACAAAGGGACGATGATTCAGGGATGATTCAGACGCTGCACGTCTCATACATACCATGTTTTTTATATTGTACTGATGTCATTTCATCGTGACATCATCATGACGCCATTAATACCACATGATGACGAATGATTGGTTCATTTAGAATAAGCTCTAGATTGTGTCTCTAATTCTATTGGCTGCTAAATTTAAATCATTACTTCACTATATGACGTCATTTCGAGATCTTGTAAACTCACTCAATCATCCTATATGATGCAATGGTTCCTGGAAACCTGACGTCCTTTTCTCAGTTCTTCGTGACCTCATTGATCATCTGGAATCACTTTCTGATCAATTTCAGCTTTTCAGAGCTTTGTGTGTTTTTGCTGTTAATATTTTTACGATTTCGACCGATTTACTCCAAAGATTAATCATCATCTGGATCTTTATCGAGGGAAACAGGGTGATGTTAAATTCCAGGCTGGTTCATAAAGCACGTCGCCTTGTCAGCCGTGTCACTTCTGTATTTAATGTATCTCGCTCGGCCCCCTGCACACAGACGGGACACTGAAGAGGTTTGCATTTGCATCATTTCAAAAACAGAGCAGATAACAGACCCAGGGCCCCGCTTCACCAGACGTGCAGGCCGCGCTAAATATCAGAAAATCTTTCAATAATCAAAACAAAAACCCAAACACGCTGCATGTGATGCAGGTTAATCACTTAATCGATCCAACAGATAAGCTTCTTTTTGTTTAGAGTCATTTCTTCGGTTCCTTAGTTTCTATGACAACAAACTGGACTGTCGGCAGAGAAAATGTCTGAACGTCACAATGGGCAACTTTCATTTGCTGACGGCTAGTCGATTAATCAAGAGAATAATGGGCAGAATAATTAAACTAAAATCAACCAACATATTGTAATTCTCTAATTTGTCAGTGAAAATCATGGGAGATTTTGTCAACATCTGTATCCACGAGCAAGTAACAGGCTCCTGATCAATACTCAGGGTTCAAAACTCACCTCCTTCAATCCCTGTCCCCTTTCTCCCTCATTGTTGATTACCCGTTCCCTCCGTCTCTTCCCTCACTCCTCTCACAACCTTTTTACATTTCTCCCCTACAAACATCCTCTTCACCTTCTCAGTACACATGTCCGTCAAATGCCCCCTCAAGCACAGACAGACAGCGACGTGTGAGCGCACCTCTGTTTTACCGCAGTCTTATTTCTTATGTTTCCAGAGTGCAGATCTGCTAAAACTTCTCTGAAGCTGAACACAACTCAGTCATTGAGAGATCAAATCAAACAATCAGGAGACAACAGTGCAGCTCAATATTCAGCAGCCAGAGAGCTGACTGGGTGATCGTCTGTGTACATATCGAGGGAAACATGGAGTGAATCTGTTTTAATGGAGGACAAGGACACTGAGAACCAACAGCCCCCAAAATCAACAATTGAACATCAGGACTATCTTCAAATTCATTCTTAAAACGCTTCAGACAAACATACTGATTTCCAGTTGCAGTATTTTAAGGTGACTTTCAGGGCTCGGTGAACGGTTCCTCAGACCAATCACAGGAAGTAGAGACCGCACTAAACAATAGAAGAAGAAGAAGAAGAAGAGGAAGTAGCTGCAGTCTTCACCTCCAACAATATAATGTTTGAACCACGAGGACGTTCATTTGTTGCATTCGAACTAGTGTGGAGTACTGCAGTACTGTAGTACTGTGGAGTATTGCAGTACTGTGGGGTACTGCGCCTGAAGGTGCTGATGCTGGGAGTGATACCATCGTGGTGTTACCATGGCAACCAAATGAAGCGCTTCATTCAAACAGAAAGACTTCTACTCGCCCCAGTGACAACACGCCGACGTCAGACGCACAACGTCTACAAACCAGTTTCTACGATGGAGAGACAGAGGTCTCTGTCACGTACAATATGAGATTTCTAAACAGCTGAATGACACAGAGGGAGAAAGAAGCAGCGTCCACACCTGTTCAAAGGATCTTTAACTTCTGTTTCCCGGAGGTCAGGGCTTTTCAGGCTTTAGCTGTTCGACACTTGTTCACGACGTGAGCTGCATATTGAAATGTCGAAGACTGTACGAAGGCTGTTCAACAAACTTCCCAGCGAGGCCGGAGCAATACGTCTGCACGAGTGAAGATATCGAGGTAAAGAAATCTCGTCACGCAGAGATTAAAAAGAACAGACCGTGTTCCTACGTTAGAGTACACGTTAGGCGAGAAAAAACTCCCGATATAAATATATAAATATGTAATGGTGTCAGGTTTTAAAAACAGAATCATTAATTTGGAGACCAGATGTTGAGATCACATAATCATGATACGATTCTGTCAAAGAACAACATCAGACTGCTGCTCTGCCGCTGTTCCTCATGAATTTAAAAGGAATCCAGCGACAGTGTGTCACATCACATTTTGTTTTTTAAATATTTCGTCCGCACACGTCTGGTACTTTTCTAAAACCACTGTATGTCTATATTCTGCTTCTGTGATTGGAAGGTGTGACACAAATGTTCAGTCGTAGCTGTGCCCCAGTGAGTCATGAACTTATCACGTATCACAGAGAGGCCTCCCTCATGTGATAACCTCCATGTCCTCCTCCTGCTCCTGTTTAACAATGAGACATGTCTTTTTTTTTTTATATATATATGGAAGTGTCCTTCGAGCTGGTTTTTCTCCAGCAGCATGTTTCACCTCGTCGCTGCTCATGTTTCCTGTATAATTGAATAGATGATGAGTAAAGATGACATCCCTGTGAAGACTGTGAGTCACAGTGAGACAGTGAGGATGGAGGGAGCTGCACATGTTGTGATATGGTGGCAGACACATTCTCCATCAATGGGGGGGGGAAACAAGAGTGAGCCCCCAATGACAACAAAAACAATGGCTGACAGGAGCAGCCGCTTCCAGGGAGCCGGTGCAGAGCTGCGGCCCTCGGTGCTCCTGACACCCCCAGCCCCGGCAGGCGGGCCTCTGGTCCCCGGGCCACGGTTCGGGTCCAGCCCCGCACACAAACAAACAAACACCGACAACAACAGCTTTTGTTTCAAGGGCGTGTGGTGTCATTAACCGTTACATAACTACATCCGCTCGCTGGGCTCCATTATGGTTTAATGGCGAGTGAGATGTCTGGCGGTGCCTCCCGGTACCGATTAGTCACCGTGAGCGGCGGCAGACCGGCCCGGTGAGCAGCAGCAGCGGCTGCGGCGGCGGGCTCCGGGACACGGTGGTGTGCGGCGGGCCGGTGTGAGGCGGCTCGGCTGCAGGAGCCAGGGATGCTAGCGGGGGGTGCTGCTGCTGCTGGAGGGGGGGTGGGGGTGATGCTACAGCTAACGTTAGCCGGCTGGAGGCTGGTTAGCATAGCAGGCAGGCGGCGGGGCCGTGCTCATCGTCTCGGGGGTTTTATTGAGTGAACCCGGGCAGGGACGCGACGCTTCTGGAGGGACCGGGGGAGGAGGGGGGGAGCGGAGGGAGGTCAGGGTGGGGGAGAAAACAGGGGGAGGTTGGGGGGGTGGGGGGGTGTCGTCCATCGGGGAGATGGGCCGAGGCCAGACGGACACGGTTCCGCTCCCTCCCCTCCCTCTCGCTCTCTCCCACGGAGGCGGCAGCATCCCGGCGGCGCATCCCTCCCAGACGGGCGGATGACGAAGCAGCAGCGGCGGCGGCGGCGGCAGCAGCAGCCCGCTAACGGCGGCTAGCTAGCGTGCTAACCTCCGCTCCCACCCGGACACGAACCCGCTCCCCGCGCCGCCCCGAAAGCGACGACCCCGGCCCCGCTTCTCCTCCTCCGCCTCGGTCCCCGCGAAACACCCTCCACGTCCAGCCCGACAGCGTGCGAGCGGGTAATTAGAGAATATTCACCTGGTGGTCGAAGAATGACGGGGATGCCCCCTCCTCCTCCTCCCGCTGCTCCTCTACGGGCACTGGAACATCCGACGGAGGACCGTCCCTCAGCGGCGAACACGGGAGGAGGACAGCGCTGGATCCATGGCCGCCGGTGACCGTGAAGCCCGAAACAGGAGGCGTCTTCTGCGGGTGCGTGTCTCTGTGCGTGCGGGTGTGTGTCCCGGACAGACTGCGGCGGCTCGCAGACAGACACACGGACGGACAGACGGACCCGCTCGGCTCCTGCTCCTCCGCAGCTCCGCCAGGAAACGTCGCTTCGCTTCGGCTCCGCGTCACGTTCACTGGGAGGACTCCTGCTGCGTTCAGGGGCAGTCGGACATCACAGCACCGGCGACTCAACGGGACACATTCGGGGGGGGGGGGGGGGTCACTGTGTACATGACGCACACGCACGCACACACGCACACACACACAGAATAACTAAACAATAAGTGTGCGTGTCAGAGCTGCAGCTAACAACCCCCCATGTCACCATTACTGCCTTTGTTTGTCTTTATTTTCTTGTATTTTGTATTTTAAGTTTTACTCTTTAATCTGCTGCTCCATCAGTTTACAGACAGTTAGTCTAATACACAACTTTGTAAAGCTTCAGGTCTTTATCTTTAAATCTGTATTTATATTCGGCTTCAATACTCTGCCTCCGTTACTTGTGTCTGTCAATCAACTGGCACTTAAGATATCTGCACATTACTTCTTTACAGGGACAGATCTGTAGTAGTTCTGTTTTGTGTGCTACTGGTATCTATCTATCCATCCATCTATCCATCTATCTTTTTATTTATTCATTTCATACTCTGTATTTTATGTTGGTCTAAATCAGGGGGTCTCAAAGGGGGCAACAGGTAGAGAGTAATTTATTTTCAGTATAATGTCACCCATTAGTAACACACTGACAGAACGTATGATTATCTTTGTCTTGACTTTCATGAACGTCTTGTAATAAAACATCTAAAACCTCAAACCTTGTGAAATGGGGTCTAAAGCATAAACTGTAAATTAAAGGTTCAGTGTGTAGAGTGTAGTTTCCCCCTGGTGGCCGGCTGCAGTATACATCATAGACCTCTGTTGTGTTGGTTGGGTCAGGACTTTCTCTGGAGTTTATCTTTCACACGGGAAGACACCATGAAGAATCTCCGGAGCATTCAGGTGAGGCAGGATGTAACGCACAGATTCTGCTGCGCCGATCCCGTGTTTTTGTTAACAGCACACTGACGGTAGATGACGTCTTTGTCGTTGTCTCATAATAACAGTTGTAGCCTTGTTTTACGTTTGATCTCGATAAATGGATTGAATCCTTTCGCAGACTGTCGCCCACACTGAGTCTGGTTCTGCTGTTTTTTCTGTCCACAGTTGTTGTGGGAACCTTTGGGGTTCTCTGTAATATTGTCAGATTTGGAACTCAATATGTAAAGTGCCCAGAGATAATGTATGTTGTGATTTGGTTAAATTCAAATAAAACTGAACTTGAGCCCCTGGTGCCTTGAGGGCACAAGTTAGTGTAGGAGCTGGGAGGCAGGACTTTTTGGGAAGAACCTGAACGCAGCATCTCTCTCCTCATGGCATCCAGGGCTTTTGTTGTCTCTCTCTCTCTCTC